CACCCACAGCTTTGCTGTGCACAGCACACACCACATCAAGGACTTCTGGAGCTGTACCTGGGGCTGCTGAGGACCACAGCTGCAGGGAGAGAGTCCGTAATGTGAGGTGGCACCAGGCAGCAGGTGGCCCCTCTTTTGAAACCATTCTAACCCCCAGACTTTTGTACTCTGGGATGCAAAGCGATTGGAGGGGCAGCCTATGGTCTCTGAAAGTAATTTTTCCATTAGACAGTAGGTCCTGCCTTCTGACATCAGTATCCTATTTTTGGTTATTGAGATGGTTATATAAGTTGTTCCTGACTTCAGTCTCCCTCACAAGAAGACAAACTAGCAAATATCCACAGATTAGACACCACTGTGAAAATCCCAGAACAGGGCGTGAGTCTGAAGAAATTCTTTGGACGCGAACACTGAGAAGGATGGTATTAGAAGGTAAATGGATCGCTACACTCTAACCTCATCACCCCTTCCCGAGGCTGGCACAGCACCAGACCAAGAAAGCCCCCATGGACCTGTGATTCTCCAATGGGAAAAAGAGAGCCTGATGTGGACATCTAGCTTCCCAAGCATCATGGCCACTTCCCAGGAGGCCCTCAACAGAAGGGCAGAATTCTCAACAGAAACTTTTCAGACCAGGAGAGGATGAAATGATATATTTACCCCACTCTCAACAATGGATAGATAGGTGCACATGTAGCATTTTCTCAACTAGATAACATGTTAGGCCACACAACAAGTCTTGGCAAATTCAAGAAGATTGAAGTCCTACGTATATTCTCTGACCACAGTGGTATGAAACTAGAAATCAGTAACAGGAGGAAAACTGGAAAATTCATGAATACATGAAAATTAAACAATACTCTCCTGAACCACCAACGTATCAAAGAAGAAATTAAAGGGGAAATTATACATATATCTTGAGAGAAAAAAATGGAAACACAATATACCAAAACTTATTGGATGCGGCAAAAGCTGTTCTAAGAGGGAAGTTCATAGCAGTAAATGCCTGTATTAAGAAACAAGAAAAAACAAGAACAACCTAACTCCATGCTTCAAGGAACTAGGAAAAGAAGAATAAACCAAGACCAAAGTTAGCAGAAGGAAGGAAATAATAAAGACTAAGGCAGAAATAAATGAAATAGAGAACAGGAACATAATAGAAATGATTAACAAAACTACAAGTTGGTTCTTTGAAAAGATAAACAAAACTGACAAACCTTTAGCTAGGCTAAACAAGGAATAAAAGAGAGAGGATCCATATCAACAAAATTATGAATGAAAAAGTAAACATTACAACTGAGACCACCAAAATCCAAAGGATCATAAGAGGCTACTATGATAACTCTATGCCAAGAAACTAGACAACCTAGAAGAAATGGATAAACTCTTAGAAATATACAACCTACCAAGACTGAATGAAGAAGAAATAGAAAATCTTAACAGAGCAATTATTAGCAGGGATATTAATTCAGTAATCAAAAACCAGATGGCTTCACTGGTGAATTTTACCAAACATTTAAGGAAGAATTAATACCAGTCCTTTTCAAACTCTTCCCCAAAACTGAAGAGGTGAAAACACTCCGAAACTCATTTTATGAGGTCAGCATTATCCTCATACCAAAGCCAGAAAAGGACACTAGAAGAAAAGAAAATTACAGACAAATCTACCTAAAGATACAAAAATCTCAATAAAATACTAGTACTAAATTGAATTCAGTAGCACATTAAAAGAATCATTCACCATGATCACATGGGATTTATCACCTGGATGCAAAGATGGTTAATAACATGCAAATCAATAAATGTGATACATCAAGTTAATAGAATGAAAGATAAAAATCATGCAATCATCTAAATAGATGCAGAAAAAGCATTTGACAAAATTTAACATTCATTCATGATAAAATCTTGTAACACCTTAGGTATAGATGGAAAGTATTTCAATATAATAAAGGCCATATATGACAAACCCACAGCCAAAATCATACTCAATGGTGAAAGGTTACAAGTTTTCACTCTAAGATCAGGCATAAGACAAGGGTGCCCACTCTCACCACTCTTATTCAACACAGTACTGGAATTCCTAGCCAGAGAAATCAAGCAAGAAATAGAAATTAAAAGCTTTTAGAATTGGAAAGCAACAAGTAAAATTGTCTCTATTATCAGATGACATTTTATATATAGGAAATCCTAAAGAGTCCACCAAAAAACTGTAAGACCTAGTCAATGAATTCAGTAAAGTTGCAGGATACAAAATCAACATGTGAAAATCAGTAGTGTTTCTATACACTAACAAAGAATTATCTGAAAAGAAAATATAAAAAGAAATTCTACTTAAAATAGCATCAAAAATTAAAATAATAAAATGCTTTTGGCATAGAAACAGATGCAGAGACCAAAGGAAGAGAATAGCGAGTCCAAAAATAAATCTCTGCATATACAGTCGACTAATGCTTGACGAGGGAGCCAAGAATACTCAGTGAGGAAATGACAGTCTCTCCAGCAAGTGGTATTGGAAAAACTGGATAATCACATGCAGAACACTGAAATTGTGCCCCTACCTTACACCACTCACAAAAAATTAACTTGAAATGAATTAAAGACTTAAACATAAGACCTTATACCATAAAACTCCCAAAAGAAAACAGGGAAAAATCTCGTTGACATTTTCTTGGCAACGATTTTTTGGATATGACACCAAAAGCACAATCAACAAAAGCAAAAATTAACAAGCAGGACTACATCAAACTAAAAAGCTCTGCACAGCAAAAGAAACAATCTACAAAAATGAAAAGGCAATCTACACAATGGGAGAAAATATTTGCAAATGATATATCAGATAAGGGTTAATATTTATAAATATATAAAGAACTCATACAACTCAATAACAAAAACCAAATAACCCACTTATAAAAAAATGACCAGAGGAACTAAACAGAGATTTTTCCAAACATACAAATGACCAACAGGTACATGAAAAGAGTCTCAACATCACTAATCATCAGGAAATGCAGATCAAAACCACAGTGAAAGATTACTTCACACCTATTACAATGGCTGTCATCAAGGAGACAAGAAATAACAAGTGCTGGTGAGGATGTGGAGAAAAGAGAACCTTTGTGCACTGTTGGTGGGATGTGAAATGGTGCAGCCACTATGGAAAAGCGTAAAAAAAGTAAAAATAGAGTTACCCTATGATCCAGCAATCCCACTTTGGGGCATATATACAAAGGAAATGAAATCAGGATCTTGAAGAATTATCTGCATTCCTGTGATCTTTCCAGCATTATTCACAATAGCCAAGATATGACAACAACCCAAGTGTCCATCAGCAGACGAATGGATAAAGAAGATATTGTGTGTGTGTGTGTGTGTGTGTGTATACACAATGAAATATTATTCAGCCATGAGAAAAAAAATGAAATCCTGCCATTTGCAACAGCATGGAAGTACCTGGAGGGCATTATGCTAAGTGAGATGAGTCTGACAGAGAAAGACAAATAGTGTGTGATCTCACTTTGATGTGGAATCTAAAAAGCCAAACTCATCACAACAGAGGGTAGAATGGTGGCTACCAGGGGCTGGGAGTGGGGGAATTGGGGAGATGCTGTTTCAGGGTACAAACTTACAACCAGTAGATAAGTAAGTTCTGGAGATCTAATGGGCAACATAGTGATTATAGTCAACAACACTGTACAATAAACCTCAAAGTCATAGGAAACTACATCTTAATTGTTCTCGCTACACAGAAGAAATGATAATTATGTGACCTAATAGAGGTGTCAGCTAACACTGTGGTGGCAATCACACCGCAATACCTAAATGTATCACATCAACATGTCGTACACCTTAAAGTTACACAATGTTATATGTCAACTGTATCTCAATTTTTCAAAATAGATAAAATAAACTCATTAGTTAATAAACATGTAAATGATTAAAAGTAGTCATAATAGAAGACATAAAAGTATATAAAATTTTTCTGTAAAAAGCTGATATCACATATAAAAGTTTATAAATGAAAAAATAAGTAAATTTAGATAAATGTGTCATTAAGCCATTGATCATAGGTCAATTAACTTTAGATAAACTGGTTTTAGGTCAATTGGTTATTGGCCAAAGGCATATACTTAGGCTTTCTATACTTTGTTTCTATATGGTAGGGTAGGGGGAAAGGTTAGGGATCTCTTTAAGCTTTTGTTTTTTTCCCCCAAAATTTATTCTCTTATTTTTTTAAAAATTTTTTTGGTCATGCCATGCACGTGGGATCTTAGTTTCCTGACCAAGGATTGAACCCGCACCCTCTGCATTGGAAGCACGGAGTCTTAACCACTGGACCACCAGGGAAGTCCCTCTCTAAGCTTCTGGCATATAGTGTTTAGACAATACACAGCTATTGAGGAAATACTGTGCTCTTTATTTGACTCTCCTGATCTCATCAATCTTGTCATATGGGACAGTTATACAAAGGATTAATAACAAATGAGAAAATTTTAGTTTTCAATGTGAACTAAGTGTATTTACCTTTCAGATGCTACTAAGAACATAGTACATATGTGATACCAGCCTCTCTTTTAAAGGAATACCTTAAAAATACAGCTTCTTTTTTTTTTTCAGAAATGGTCCATAGGCAATTATTTTATCCCTCTTATGGAAAAGAGTTTGCTGCGGAAGAGCTCCCTTGCAATTCAGAGGACTTTGGTAACAAGGACTATTACACTCAGTGACCCTTTAAAAGATGACTGGCCAAAGATACTGACCTCTGAGAAATGTGAGAGCCCATAGAAAAAGTAAAGGACTAGCCATCTGGTCTCCAGTAGCTAGGTTAATTTGTCACCAAATTAGGGAGTTCAGGGCTTGGAAATATTCCAGCGGAAGCTGTTTTATTTTCTTACTTGTTAAGCTTCACTGACTAAAAGGAACCTCAGTCTCCAGAAGTAAATAAAAGGCCCTGAATCCTGCTATTCCTGATTATTCACTTCTCTACCGGGCATTCAACCATGAGACTCCATTTACTGCTTTCTGTTCTCCTCCTCTCTTTGACTATAATACCAAAAGGTAAGACGATGAATAACTGTAGAGACAGGTTTCTTAGGAGACCTACTCGGATGCGTAATTATACTGTGGCCATCTTAACTCAGACCCTAATGCACAGTCTTAGGGATGCGGAAGTCCAACATGATCATCTTCCTTAGAACTGATGAGGCCAAAATTGTGAAGCGGGACAAGGATTTCCATCAACAGAAAATGAGTTCCAAAAGCTCCATGACTAGAAAAGGGGGTTCAAACCGATGTGGAAGTGGAGAAGCTTTGACATGTGACATCAGGCTCAGCATACAAATCGAGCAGCTTTTACAAGGGCCCCCACCTCCAAAAAGGAGAGTGAAAATGGCAGCTACTGGGTCAGACTTGGTTAGTGAATGGAAGTGATGCAGTCTGTTGGTGAGGGAATATTTGTGAATGGTAGAAATTAGGTACATAATACAGAGCTCAACAAAAAAGAATTATATCAAGTTATTAATAGGGAGCAGAGGAATTTGGAAAAAGCATGGATTTGGGACGGTGCGTCAAAGGAAAAATTTTAAGCAGAACGCAAAATAGGAAGGGAGCATTTTAACAACCTGAGTTACACCCTTGGTGCTCATGATGGAGAAGTTGGAATATTAAAGTGTAGACTTACAGGGAAAAGGGAACATGGCCATTTTCAGGCTGATTCATTCAGATCCTTGTAAAAACTAAGATTGTTTTCTCCACTGTTGATGTCAGGATGTTCACATCCCTCAAAATAACATCTGTGTTCACTGAACATAGATTAAGTCTGGGTAACTCTCCCTCTTCCTTGATTCATCTGTAAGATTTTTTCAAATACAATCAAAGATATTTATGTATGTTGAAATGTTTGATCTTTGCCTAATCTATGAATATCTTGGGATCTATCTGATGTACAGCTGCCCACTCTTGAAGGAGTTCATGTACTTCTCACCTGGCCCTCAATTCTGTCAGAAGAAGACACACTTGTAGCAACAGCTAATATAAAATTATATGATGTTAATGACTTAAAATTAGAAGGCAATTTAATGGTTAATTCTTTAATTTTACAGATAAGAGAATCCATGTCCACATAAAGAATATGATTTCACTAAGGTCACATAGGTAATGGCAACACTGCAGCTGGAACCAAGTATTTTTAATCTGGGTCAGCATTGTTTCCATCGATCTAAGGGTGTAGGTATGCCCATAAAGTGGTAACCCTAATTTCTGTTAGGCTGTTTACCTCAAAGACCCCTAATTAGACACTGAAGAACCTAAGGAGATTTTCAAGTTTCCTCTTTGGGAAGCTACAATGTCTTTGAAACATGTTACTTCACTTACCTCTAAATTCTTTTTCTTCAGTGTTTGTGGTAGGCATGTTGAATCGGCTTAACATTCTGGCATTATTATTGGGATGACTTACACTAGTCTTTAGATTTTCCTGATCTTTGTTCTTAAAATCATATAATGGTGATAATCAGACTGCTGAAAGCACTTGGTTCAAGATAATTATGTGTGCATGGTTGTTGAGTGAATTTTTTTTGTTGTTCATGCTTGCTTTCCACCACCTAAGCTAAATTCAACTCAACATAAATGACTGTCTCCATCCAGAGTCATGAACCATGTTATGGGCCTTTTTTTTTTTCAAGGTTAAGGAGGGATACTTCTGGAAGTAAAGATCAAGCCAAAAGTCACCATTATAGCGAGAAAGTGATATGGCAGTGGTTCATTCTCAGAGTGGAAAACAATTCAAGAAAAAGGTTGTCCTAGAGCAAAGGCCAGAAATAACTGACAGGAAAACAGGACTCCAAGAAATCTAGGCCTAAGGTTTAGAGAAGTTCCTATGGTAATAACAAGACTGGACACCCATAAATACAATTGTACATCCAAGAGTGGGTGGCCAAATAGTTAAAAATAGGCTGGAGCCAAGAAGTTTTAGAAGGAATTTTAGAGACAGAAAATGTGCGTGCGGTCAAAGAATACTTAACTGCATTCGATGGTAAGAAATGTGTACTGAGCATTTGCTACTTTCCATGGGCTGCGTGAGATACCCAAGATACAATGGGAAATGAAAGGAAGACTGCCTTCCCTCAGGAGAGAAGACAGACATTAGGCAAATGATTACAAATGCATCTATAAGTTATACATTTTAATAAGTACAATGAAAAGGAACAGAGTATTCTGAGTGCCTGAAACATGCGGTCATCGTCAATCTGCAACATCTGGGAAAAGTTCATTGAGGCGTGCCTTTTGAGATGAAAACGGGAAGATAAGTGTTCATTGATGAACGCCTTGCAAGGAGACCTCAACACTCCTGGCAGAGGAAGAAGCCGGTGCAATGCCCCTGATGCAGAAGAAACCACAGTGTGTTTAAGGAACTGCAAGAAGGCCACGGCAGGAGAGCGCTAGTTTACACCGGAAAATGTGCCAAGCATCTCATGGAATTAGGCCACAGTGAAAGCTGCATGGCACCAAGGCTCAATCTGCAGGGACACTTCGAGAACAGGGAGGGCAAGGCTACCAGACTTTGTGCCGGGAGTGGTGACCACGAGTATCTCCATCACCAGGGATGGGTCTCGGTTTATGCTCAAAGTAGGAACATCTACGGGTTCTAGGCGGCCTACGAGCCTGATAGGTCTTTCCTTTTGTTTCACTACCTCCACTATTCTTTCTTCAGAGTTTCTCTTCCTGGTTCTGCCATAGAAGGAGTTTCAAGTTTAGAGTAGCTTCCTTCTTTTCTAATCTTGAGATAATCACTCTTTGAGGTACACACATAGAATGAAGCCTGAGAAACCACCAGCAACTGTGTGGAAATAGATAAATGTATCAATAACAATCATGAGAAATTAGGAAATCAAAATTCCTAACCTTTCAATCTGATAATTTCTGTGGTCCAAAGGTAAATAAGTCTGATCTATCTAGGTGGATTCTCTAAGTCATAATCATGTTTAGACTTGAAAATATGCACTGTCTGAAATCTCTGTTGTCCTTTGGATAAGGCGCCTTCTTCAGTGTTCCAAAGGAAGTTCCTACCCTCTAGGCACCATGATTCATACTCCATTAAAGTAGGATACCAAAGTATAAGACAAAACTAGCAAAGGTGGTGAGGAAAGTGCATCACTGATGGTATGAAGGACTCACAATTCACAGGCAAAACCCGCCAGGGTCCAGGATGATAGATGTGGGACAGGTAGACAAGGATGTACAACAAACTCTACTTCAAGACTAATCTGGAAGGTGAATCTGGAGGACATGATGCTAAGTGAAATAAGCCAGTCCAAGAAGATAAAGACTGCATGATTGCCCTTACCTGAGGCATCTAAAAATAGTCAAACTCGTAGAAACCTGGAGCAGAACAGCGGTTTCCAGGGGCTGGGGAAGGGAGAAATGGGGAGTTGTCGTCTGATGGGCTTAAAGTTTCACTTCTACAAGATGAAGGAATTCTCGAGATCTGCTGGGCAGACTTGTGCCTGCGGATAATGGTACCATGCTGTGTACTTAGAATTGTCAGAGTGGAGATCTCATGTTTAGTGTTCTTACCACAGTTAAAAAAAAAAAGAAAGAAAGAAAGAACAAGTGAAGAGCAGGAGGTTACTGGGGCTGGTAACAGCGTCGGGCTCCCCACGAATCTGACAAGAACCCTTTGGAGGCGTCATGCTGACCCCTTCCTCCAGATCAGTCCTCCTTGGTTTCTCCCAAATCAGTTATGCCAAGAGGATAGATTAAACAAAGACCCTGTAATCTTTCACAGGAGGGAAAAACTCTCAATGGCCAGGTGTTTTCGGAAGAGAATATATTGCAGCCACACGGAAATGTCACGATACCTTACTTTGGCATGTGGAGATGCACCGCGTGGGACGCCTCTATGTTTATACCCAGATGCGTCCTTGAAACATACTCTGCCTCTCACTATGCCTTGCCCGATATTAAAAACCCTTGATTTTAGCTTCGTTAGAAAACCTGAAAGTCTCACCAAATGTTACACTAAGTGCGTGGGTGAGATTATCGGGGGAGAGACCGACGGCTGGTAAGAGGACTGCTGCACTGCTGGGTACGGAGCCTGCGCTCTGTGTAGACAGGCGTGGGGTGGGGTCGCCCTCGGCTCTCTCCCCGAGAGCAGTGAGACCCTCGGCCCTGTCCCCGAGAGCGGCGGGACCCTCGGCGCTCTCCCTGAAAGAGACGCTCCAGCCTCCAGAGCTGGCAGAGCAGAGGCAGCACCACAGGAGGCTAACCAACTCCCCATCATGCCATTCTCTTGCCGCACGAGGCCCCGAGCCCACGGATGGCTAGCCTGAGAGTCAGATCCTGCAGCAGGTGGAGAACACAGGCTCGCCCAGGCTCTGAAAATTCAGTTACAGGAGGCTGCGTTGGTGTATATGGCTGTGGGTATTTTTCTACGGGACGGTGAGATAACAATGAGGGCCTGGTTTAAATACCGCCCCCCCCAAACAAAGATTCAGAGCCCCAAAGTGCTCAAACTCTCAGTTAAGCGGTAGAAGTTAGGGACCAAAGAAGCCAGCCAGTCAGGGTTAGTACATTATTGGACAGTAAAGACAGAACGGGACACAGGGGAGTTAACAGGACGGTTCAGGAGCCAGCTAATCCCCGTTGCTGGCCGCAAACAGAAGTGTCCTGTTACGTATCAGCCACCATGACCCACGGGGAAAAGGACCCTTGGCTGCGCTGGAAATGCTCGAGGAGGGATGCTGGGGTGCAAGGGAACGGTGCTGAAGCACACCTCAGTTACGTGCTTTTCAGCAGCCCAATGCATCGGGAAAACATATGGGTGTGTTTAAGGAAAAGCACCTTTCAGCTCTGAGAGAAAATCTCTCCATGTATCTGCATATACCGGGCATTGAAGAACACAGAAAATCCGGTTCCTGCACAGTCCTGAAATGGGGGAATTAGGTAAGGTGAAATCTGGAGGATGGCTAGACTTTCCACAAGAGGAGATGAAATGAGGACAGGTGCCATACGATAAGGATGCTGTAAATGGGGATGCGGAAGTTAGCACGGGCGAGGGGGTAGAGGGTGGATACTTCGGCTGAAGTAGTCTGTCTCAGTGCAGGTGTTACTGGCATTTGGAGCAGGACAACTCACTAGGAGGGAAATCTACCAACCCTGAGCCTTACCCACCAACGCCAAGGACATCTCCCCAGTCATGGTGACAACAAAGCACCCCACACGGTTCAACATGTACTGCCCTTGATAAGGACAACTCTCTAAAAGCTTCTAGAAACCAGCCTGCCCTCTCTAAGATGTGTATAGTCCCTCACTCTTAGCACCCCTCCTCCAAAAAGCCACTTCTTTTGCCTAAGGGATTTTTTCATATAGGTAATATCATTTATTCTATCTCAAAGCCATTCTTCTCTAAATTTATTGCTTTACGTACATTACCAATAATTTGATGGTGAATTAATGAGGCTGTTAAATCTCTTTCTGTGCAGCAAGTACTGGCCTTATTCCAGGACGAAAACAATGTATTCTTCTGCAAGGGGTGTGCAAAGATGGAGGATGCACCAGCACGGATGATACCATTGGTGTATGTAATGATAAAAAAAAATGTTGTAGAAGGTGGTGGGTACTTCTTCCCTATCCAACGCCAGTTCCCAAATCAAAATCTCCTTGATGACAGCAAACTGTAAGCCCTTCGAACTCTAGAACACATGGATGAACTTCACAGACTCCTGTTTGACTCAGAACTCCAGAACCCGAGGATAAATTATACAGACTCCTCTTAAACTTGCTTTTCTCCCTTGACTGGAAATAAATGTCCTAATTCTACATGTACTCATCCCTGGGGACCTTCTTCTTGATGCACGTGCAAACCTCTTAAGAACTACAAGACTAAACTAAATAACAGAGGCACCTTACACTTTAAAGATGTTTAAACAGAATACGACTTTCTTAAAAAGAAAGATAAAATTTTTAAATGTGAAAAAAAAATCATAAGGGTATGAAATAGCAGTAGGTAGTGTTTGATTATCTAAAGGGGGATATCAACCTTTTTCCTCATCTGACTCTGACCAAAAATTATTTCTGTTATTAAGAGAGACCTACTTGGGTGGCGTGAGTCAAGGTCTGTTCATCACATGGTCCTGCTATGTGACCTCAGCAGTAGGCTGGCTGCCAACCCAGTCCTGCCAACACTGGCTGAGGCTGGTCTCCCCCACCCACTTCACCCGGGCCCTGGGGGAATGAAATGCAAGAACTGCTCCCTGCAAGGAGGCCCACAAGGAGACAACAGAGCGCTGAGGACTCAGCGTGCCCTGCTAGTTCTTTCCAAATTCGCCACGAGATAATTCCACTTTCTGGCTGGAATCATTTCCACCAGAATAATAATTCTGGATCATCTGTACTTTATGGCTAAGAAAATGAAAGGGCAAGAAAGAGGGCAAGAACATTACAGGACGTGAGTTTCACAAGGATGGAAAAAATCTTTTGAATGAGGCCAAATGACTCCACAAACAAAGTTCGAGGCTTTTTGTTTCCTCAACCGTAAAGCTGGTCTTCTGTGGTCCATCAGAAGAAGGTGGGTTATCTCACCTTCTAATGGTCTTAGGATTTATGTTTCTATTTTTTATGTGGCTATCAGGTGTCCACAAGACCATATGTTTCTTGAGTACAAAATCCGCCTTTATTCACATCTGCGTGTTCCGTGCATCACACGGTCTCACAGAACACACAGTGTTGACGTGTGCAGTTCTTGATGAAACAGTAGTTGCTTTGCTTACCAGTCATGTGACTTTGAACTATTTATTTACCTTCATTTTCCTTAAAATTCTTCTCCAATAAATGAGTGAAATAAGTCTAACTACTGGGCTTGTTGTAAGGATGAAATGAGATCATGTACACAAAGCGCTTGGTATACACATGGCAAAACCCAGAAAAGCTTACCGCTAATATTATTACTGTTCTCTTGTTGCTAAAATACCTTAAGGAAATAAATCATTGTACTTAGATAGGCCTGTTATTATACGATGCATAGATTACCAGTTTAAAATAAATAAAATGGAACTAAATAGATTTCATATTGAAAGAATATATGGATAAACAACTATTTCTTGGTATTTCAGAAGAAACCACAGCAAATTGTTAAAATTTTACAGTTTCTATTATAAATACCATTGTTTTCTGATATTTAAAGCTTCATTTCTTTAATTAATATGTCTCGTGACCTCCTATGAAAACTGAAATTTAAAAAGCATGTTAGGAAAAATATTAAAGGCGATTTTCATCAGGATTGAAAATGAAGCTTAAATACTGACATTTCATTAGCATTAGACAATCCTTTCTAATGACATAATAGATTAAAATAAGTAACAATATCAAGGGAAGGACTTTTTTTCTTTAGATGACAAAGGGAGTTAGAATTGTTATTTTATTAATGGTGTGATGGATGGTTAGCATCTCTGAGAAACAATTTCTCCCAAAGCCTCAGATCTCTATTCTTTCTGACCTAGAGATTGTATAAAGATTTTAAAGGTTTCCTTTAGGCTTTTTATTTATTATTACTTAAAATGTTGCTAGACATATACTCACCAAATGCACATAGGAACTGTTGGTTTCACACCTAGAAACACTTAGAAAATACAATTCGAAGTTATTAACCATAGAAAAATATAACTGCAGTGAAATAAGCCATAATTGAAGCGAGTGTGCTTTCTCAACAAGATATTAGCTGGAACATTAATAATACTTCAAGGCGTCTCTTCTTTTTCAATTCAAAGGCGCTAACCTGAAGGCATATGTCCTTGTCTAGGTGAGACCTAGACATGGGCCATCATTTGAAATGTCAGATTGCTCAAATGAGCAATAACGTAACATCACAACTTGATCCCACTTACAGGCCTAGCCAGGTGCACAACCAGAGTAGGAAGCAATCCCTGTTAGTTATTTTATGGGTAAGATGTTAACATTTTTATCATAATTCAAATATGTTTTCCGGAAGAGGTAACATAATAGGTCATTATCCTTCACTAATATGTTCCTAAATTTTAAGCTAGTAGTTAGCTGGTCTATTATTTAATACGCATTGGAAAGAGTATTAAAGAAAAACAGTCAATTTAAATCCGAAGATCTGAAATGTGGCTAGTGTGCCTGAGAAAATGACGCTTTATTTTATTTTAATTAATTTTAATTTAAATAGCCATATGTGACTAGTGACTTATACAGCACAGCATAGCTTCAGAGCTCTGGACCGGCGCAGGGTGACACAGTGATGAAGCACGTGGCCTTCAGGCCAGGCAGCTTGTGTGCAAATCTCAACTCCATGGCCTGCCAGTTGTGCGACCCTATTCTGGAAAATGAGGATAACCATACTCACTTCATTGAGTATTATGAGGATTAAATGAATGTGCATATAGAAAGCCCTTACGGCAGTATCTGCACTTATCACGAGAGCAATGCTCGGCCATCCTGGGTTCTTGGGAGTGATGAGGAAAGAGGGAGAGAGCACTGTGAGAACACTGGGTAAGGAGCTCTAGCCACTTTCTAGATTCATCCTAGACTAGCTTTTCCATCCCTAATGCCATCACTTTGTTCTTCTTGCGAGTATAAAGAGCTCTCTCGGAACAGGCACTGAGAATCGCAATTTAGGACACGGTTTTCCACAACCGAACTTACACTGGATAAATGTGTCGTCACACAATGAGGAAAAGTTTAAGAGTTAAAAGAATCACAAGCCAAACGCTGTCAGCTCTCCGGTGAATCCTCTGGAGACGTTTTATTCCTAGGCTGGCGAGGTAAGGTACAAAAGAAAAGGGTCCTGTGTTGGCTACAAGGATACAATCTCTGGGGTAGCTTCAGCCCTCAAATCTCCGACAAAACCAAACCCCTCCTCTCAGCAGGGTTTTCTCCACGGAGAATGCAATACCACAGATTAGAAATTCAGTTGTGTTGACATGAGTCCTGCTTCCGAATTTGACTAGCCTTGGGAGGATAGGAGGGTGCCTCTAAATAACTCCTCTTCTGCTGTCAATCAGTTTTATGACATCGGTTTCTCCTCAGCCCTACCCGTGATCAAGCCACCAGGAAGAGGGAGGTTTTGTGGGCACCGGAGAAGAGACTGAGAAATCGTTTGGCTGGGGGTGTCTTTCAGGCAGGGGAGACACCTGCCTGTCTTAGTGTTGGCGTGTGGAGCTGTGAGACCTCTGAAATAAGGCGGGATGGTGACTTTGGAAAGAGAGAGTCACACTTGGAAATGAAGCGTCATATCTGGAGAACAACCAAGCGAGAAAATGTTGCTTTGGTAAAGCCCACTAAAGGCTGAAAGGACAGTTTAGTGAAATGTTGGAATGACTGGCAGTAACAACATCATGAATTGCCTTTTCTTATCACCCCCTAACTTTTCACCGGGTAAAATCCCACACGTGCCTCAAGGGATCGTTCAATTGTCATGCCCCTGCTTAGCCTTCCCCCAGATGCCCTCCAAACCCATCTCACGAGGCAAATCAATCTCTTCCTCCTTTGTGTTCTCCACACATGAACATACCTTTGTGGACGTCTTCACTCATTTTAACTTAGTTTCAGAAGTGTCTCAATTCATGGAGCTCTTAATGCCTCATAATTATTTCTAGGGCACCCTGGACCAAAAGAAATGCCTAACAGTTTCGGCTATTAGGGCTTAATAACTTAAGTTATCTCTGCCCTAACAACATAGTAACCATGTGAAAAATAAAACGCACAAATCGAAAGAAAAAGTAATACTTTTTAACTTTTAAATAACCCAATTACTGACTAATGGTAGGTATGTGCCCACTGGGCACTGAACAACTTCTCAAATCTTGGAATCAGATGGGACACAGCCACCCTCGCTTTCTGCTCCACAGCGATTCCCTGTGTGGCTCCTGACGGCGCAGCTGAGCAAGGTCTGACGTCACTGGGAGGAACGTAGCAGGTCTAATGCTGAAGGTGAGAAGTACTTTGAGGTAGTAGTTTCGGCAGAGTCCAAAAAAAAACCTTCAGCATCTGCCTTGCCCTTGAATTTTTAAAATATTTCATGGTGCCCTTGGAACTGGCTGAGGAGCGCAGGGGTGCCTGGTCGCACAGCTGCAGACCTGAACTTCAGGCACTTATAAGAATGTCTTCCGTTCACCATAGATTGTGAGCCTCCTGAGGACACCATTGTGTCTGACTGGCAGCTTGTATTTGCAGCTCACCACCTCATGAGTTATGGAAAATTGTTGAATCTACGGGTGAGATGAGCAGAAACCGGCCATGATTTTCGGGTTTTATTGCTGCGATCGATGCTCCGTGAGAACTTATCTATTGCACTTTGCCGATGACCCAGAGGAGGCTGTTACTGCTTTGTTGCAGAGAGGCTGGAAGCTAACACAGCAGGAATGTGGCCCAAGGGAGCAGAGGGGGCTTCCAAGTGACTGGCCTGGGAAGAAACGCAGACCACCGGAGACTGAGTATTATGGTCACTTCCTACCAGGTTTTGCCTGGACAGACAGGGTACTTTCTCTGACGCTGTAAGGACTGTGCCCTCAGTGGCAGAAAATACTTCACAAGCGACAGCATGTGTTTGGTACAGAGTGATGTTCCCAGCCGAACGCGGAGTGCGGGACGGCCGGGAGCCTTCGGCCCGGGGGCCCAGCCTGACCCTCACCAATAGGTTTCTTGCTAGCTGCTGGAAGGGTTTTGGCGACTTACCTTCATGGTGATCACT